CATCAGTTGCAGTCAGAGTTTTAATGACTGCTCCTACTGGACTGTTCTCTTTAACATAAATATTAAGTATCGGATCAGAGAAGCGAGGCGAGTTGTCATTGACATCAGAAACATGAACACTAATTATGCTGGTGCTGGAGAGAGGAGGAGCTCCTTCATCAGTTGCTATTATAGTAACATTGTACTCGTCTGTAATTTCTCTGTCAAGCGGACCAGTAACCACTAAAGAGTAATAATTTCTATAGTTTGTGTCCAGTTTAAATGGAGTTTTATTTACAATCACAGCTTTCACTGCCCCGTTATTCCCACCATCTTTATCCAAAACCGAGACAAGTGCAATAGCTGTACCTACTTCCGCATCCTCTTTTACTGTATTTAGTAGTGACGTTACCGTGATCTCAGGAGCGTTGTCATTTAGATCCAGCACTTCTACCAACACTTTACAATGAGCAGACATCGGAGGCTGGCCTTTGTCAGTGGCCTCCGCATGGATCTCAAATGCACGATTTTCTTCATAATCGACTTTACCCTTAACTGAAATCAGTCCCGTTTTTGAATTAATTTCAAATAAATCTAAAATATGATCTTGGCCTTTTTTTCTCAAAGAGTATTCAATTTCACTGTTTGAACCCTCATCTGTGTCTGTTGCATTCAGCGTAATCACTGTCGACCCACTGGACAAGTTTTCAGGAATTTTAATTTTGTACAAAGACTTACTGAACACGGGATGGTTGTCATTAGTATCCATCACGGAAATGATAATAAGCGATGTCCCTGACTTGGGTGGGTTTCCTCCGTCTACTGCAGTCAGCGTGAGTTTTATAACAGAATCCTGCTCTCTGTCTAACGATTTCTGCAGCACTAACTCAGCAGACACGCTGTCTTCTCCTTTATGAATATCTAATGTAAAATAATCGTTATTACTAAGTTTATATGTATTAACACCGTTTTTACCGACATCCAAATCTGATGCCTCTATCAGTCCAAATTTGACTCCCGGTAAAGTATTTTCTGAAACATCAAGCGACTGCAGCTTCTCAGAGAAAACGGGTGCGTTGTCGTTTATATCTTTTATATTTATCTCTAAGCGATAAAGCTTCAGCGGGACGTTGATCACCGCCTCTACATTGACAGTACATTTTGAAGCCCTACCACAAAGCTCCTCGCGGTCGATTCTTTCGCTGACATAAAGAGCACCAGTTTTTAAATTCACATCGAAATACTTCTTCTGTGGTCCACTAACAATCTGAAACCTACGAGACTCTAAATCCTGTACATTGAGATTTAGATCTTTGGCAATATTTCCAACAGATGTCCCAATATTTTCCTCCTCCGATACAGAGTACGAGAGCTGTCCAGACACCGCTTCCCAGCAATAATTCAGCAGCACGGCCACAGAATAAGCCCGCAAAATATCTGTTTTTGTTGGGAAATGCATGATTAAATCCACCGAAATCAGGAACACTTTGTGTCCACCAGCAACCGTCATATATCCGCAAACAAAGGCAATCACAACAAGTCAGCCTGATAAATTTTTCGCCCTTTCTCTCTCGCTCTGCGCCTCTTTGTTACAAAGCCCAGAGAAAGATCATCCTCTGTTTCTGGGTGGAGTCTTATGCCTTTAGAAATAACATCTAGATGTCATGGTCTTCAGTGCCACCATCTGGTGATGTAAAATAACTGCATTTAAGCTTTAGGAACAGTAACAATTAAATGACCCGTCCAAGGCGATCAACTTCTCATTAATTATGAACATAACCCTGTTAACTTATATGTTATGGTGCATTTCAAATGATTTTTTTCCTTTTCCCATTCTGATTAATTCTCAGTTAACAAAGAAAAAAATCACAAGTTTCCTCTTGGTGATACTCGCCTAAAAGTACACGAGTTAGAATTGACAGACCTTATTGAAAAAAATTCGACACCAGAAAGATACAGCAAGAACTTACTAGTATTATGACATAAAATAAACACATTTTCCTAATTTCTAAAAGTATGAGAGCGAAGGTGATTGAATAAGCGGTCGAATAACCTTCCTAAATGTGATCAAACAAACTTTACACCATTCTCCACTAAATAAAAAGATCTATCATGAATTGTATGTCAAGTTTCCAGGGAAAAACACTTGTCTTTGTCAACCGTGCCCCAATTAAGTCCCCAGATACACCCTCCAAATGACCGGCAACTCGCACCTTTCTGATTTCAGCACCACGGATAACGACAATAACTTTCTGTCTAAACTTGAAAGGCTCATGAACCTTGTTTATTTTGGCTTATTAACAACTGTACATTTCAACTCAACTCCAAACCGATAAAAAAATCACATCTTTAAATAGTTTGTGAAGTTAGTACTAACGTATTCCACTTAAAAAAACAACAACAACAAACAAACAAAACATGGAGATTACCTAAGGCATCAATTTATGCATTGCATTGTTTTTGCTAATTTCTTACCTTCTCTTTGCTAGGTAAAGTCTGAGTCCTAGTAAAAGTGTCTCCTCCGTTAATACTGATCAGTTCTCCATCTACAGGTGGAAACGAGGCGGGGAAAACCACTACGTCACTCTTGAGCGTGTCTGAGCTGAAACACACGTCATACTGCTGAGTAGCTTTAGAGTAAGACCAGCTCCCGTCAGGGTGGGTGGTGATCATCGGGGCGCTGTACCTGCTGAAAGTGCCGTCTGTCCTGTGGCATCTGACTGCTATTAAAGTGATGAGGCTGAGCAGAAAGATGACGGACACCGACACAATGGCGATCAGCAGATACAGGTTCAAATCCGAGAAGCTGTCCTCCTTTACAGGCACATGTCTGAATTGAGTCTGGATTTCAGCCGTGCTTTCAACCACCACCACATCAATAGACACAGTAGCTGACAGGGAGGGTTCTCCGTTATC